CTGTTACTTCAACAGACAGCAACCTTTCTACCACAATCTTCCAATGCGCTGCCGCCATACCAGCTGAGGCTACCGTCTTCAATCAAATAGAACGCTCAGTCATTATCACTGCATCTGGACTGAAAAATGCCCCAAGTACAGCTATAATGACCGGGCGTTATATTCGGGTGAAGACTGTAGGGAATAGCTACGGAGGCGGAAGGAACAATCGCTACATACAGAATGAAGACACAACGAAGACGGCAAAGGAACAATCGCTACATACAGAATGAAGACAGAACGAAGACGGCAAAGTGGTCCTGCTACCCCAGGAGTTAGTCAGTTATAGAGGAGGGAAACCCGACAAGGAAGAAAAAGAGAGAAGCGAAAGAGGATGAGCAACAACAGATCCAAGAGTAGGATTGTCGAGAAGCGGAGGAGGCAAGGCTTGTGGATTTGTGAACAGAACAAAACTTTGAAATCGAGAGGGCAAAATAAGGGCAAGGCATCCCCAAGCTACTAGTACCTGGTAGGCTTTTTTTCTTTTTCTTTTTTGGGACAATGCTCCAGTCTATTCGCGGGGAGCAGCACGTGCTGGGAACCGGGCCCAGCGTCCCATTCAAGAACATATTAGAAAACATATGCAGAACAGTTTGAGATAGGGCCATTACCCGGCTTCGGCTAGGATGATAGCTATATGCAGTTCGAACAGCAAGAGGCTGTGAGGAGACTGCAAATCTACTAAAGAAAGCTTGGACGCTATGAGCCTTTTCGATAGCGATTGCAGAGTCTATCCCACAGCCTACTCTTCAAATAGACTAAACTGAGTAAACTCAGAAAAGCTACGAGAAAACCGCCCAACCTGTGATCCATGTGAGCTTCCAAACTGAAAACAACCTACTTTGGTGCCTTTCAGCAGCACGACCTTAAACCTACCTCAACCCCTGTGTCCCAATACCCAATCTCTACCAGGCCTCACACCCCCAACTGCTAGGTTACAGAGTGGCGCGACCCACCACGGAACAATCCGCCACCTGCTGGGCTACACAGGGCGAAGCGACCCGCCCCGGCTCCGGCCAGCGTAGACTGAGTACCAGCTCACCAATAGACACTAGAGTGCTTTCCTCCCTCGACAACGCCCCAGATCTCTCTGCCAGGTCTCATGCCCCCGTACAGCTCGAGTTATAGGGCAGCGTGACTAAGCCCCAGCACCGACTAGCGTCGTTCTGGCCTCGTCCATTTGCAAACGTCTGGGACCCAAGGCGTCGGCAGATGCCATACAGGCCGCCGATCATCACCATGGTCCATTTGAGTAAACTTAAAAAGGTTTTGAGAATCTAAGAAAAACATTAAGATACCAATCCGCTGAGAAGATACTATTGTAAAAAACTTACCTATAGATCCACCAACCAAGGAGACTACCAAACAGAAAACAAAACAGGACTCCTCGTTCTTCCCACAATCCATATGACAAGCAGGCAAAACTCAGTCCGGCCATTCAATCCTCATCAGAACTCAGACAGTCTCTTACCCCCCATCAACTAAAGTAACAGGGAAGCACGGCCCGCCCCAGCTCCCGACCATCCTCATTCTGACGGCAGAGACTGGCGTGCCTTCCTCCCTCCGCCACTCCCTCCTAGCCTCAAGCACCTGACTCATTCAGGCTACAGAGCAACGTCCCAGCACTGGCTTCGTTGGACAAGCTGGTTTCACCTTCCTCCCTCAGTGAACTTCCCAAGACCCAAGCCCCCACCCAGGTTACAGAGCAAAACAAAACCAGCGACAGTCTGTGTCGTCCCAGCAACGTCCTCCAGACCTACGCGACCTGGACTGAATTACTCACCCGCAAACAACTCCCAACCACCCCCAATCCTCCTGTTTCTAACTCCTACCTCCCCCCTCCCTTTTCCAGTAGGACTTTCTATAGTTAGTTCGCCATCCTCCCTACTGCCTACCCTAATACCATCTTGTCGGCTAGCCCTCCTCGCCAACAAGACGTTTTTAATACCATCTTGTCGGCTAGCCCTCCTCGCCAACAAGACGTTTTACCCCCCGACCGCTCCTCACCCAGATCATCGGCAAGAATTCAAAGTAATTATTATTATGCATTAAAGCTCGCACTCCAAAACAACGTCCTCCGACCGCACCCTCGATGGCGCTCTCTCCTCAGCACCCCCCTCTGTTCCGCCCTGCCCCCTCCGCTATAGGGAGGGCCCCCCATCTCCAATCGGCCTCAGTTCAGACGAGGCCCCCTTCGGACACCCCATGCTCCCTCAATGGAATACAATCCCCCCTATTAGAGTATTTCATCAAAATAGGGAATTGGTTACAAAACTAAAGATCGGACATATGTAATTAAGAAAAAAGTTCGAAAAACATACGAATTTCAGGTTTAGATATCCGAGAAGGATTTTAGTGCCTGGCAGACTAATATTGGCTAAAGTGAAAAACAGGAAAATAAATTTAAATAATAGAGAAGATAGGCATTGTACTGACAAGACTTCCATCAGATTTTCTGATGATTATATAAAGCACCTACACAAGCAACGTTGATGTCGAGATAAGGGGGAAAAGGAATTGTGATTGACAAGGGGGACAACGGGAAGCATAACCAAGAGGAAGGAGATGGGAGGTAACTCTTCACAGGGCAACTGAGGAGTTCAATAGTTGAGAAGATAGGCACCAAACCTCCATAATATTACACAAGTCGGGTCTTATGCCGATTATATAAGGCACCTACTCAAGCAACACCCTTGGTGACGGATGCGTAACCAAGAGGAGATGGGAGGTAACTCTTTTTTTTTTTTTTTTTTTTTTCTTGGTAAGCATCGGGCATGTTATTTCTGCTATCATTTTTTATATGAGCAACCCCTGGTAGTTGTGCCTGTGTTGATGGCTCCTGTGTATAGGTGGGGAGCTGCGCCTGCTAGAAACCGGGTCCAGCGTCCCTTCGAGTTTTTTTTTTCAGGTTAAAAAATCGAATTTGTGTTTGACTCGTCTACGTGGGAGTGTTTTACAATGTTCAGTGGAACAAATACTCACAGCATTGGACCCCAAAACATATACTAGTCGTCCCCCATCTATGCCTTTGGGCCTTGTTTCAGAGTCCTAGTATAACCACCCATTCCCATGCCCCTGATCGCAGCGGTAGAACCTATGTTACCAGAGTCGTATGAAACTGTTTGAACGCGCTTAAGCGCGCGCTCGAAGCCCCCCAATGTGCGCTCAAAAGTGCTCAATCGTGTTTGGGGCGTGCATGCACACCAAAACATGAGCACGCGCACCT